ACAGACTCCCTTAATGCCCAGGGAGAGGCTAAGGTAGGCCAGACATACTCTGGAAGAGAATTACAGCCTTTTTTTTAGGATAAATCACTCCATATCCTGTCCATCCAACGGCCAGCAAATCCCTGCTGCAGCAAAACTCATACAGAAAGTGCTACCAGGAAAGTGCCAGGGGTAGAACAGAAACTATTCACATTAATCCCTCAGCTTGTCTATTTTTGCTGCTCCTTGAAAAGGACAAAATTTCTTCCTTTCCTTGTAGCTCATCACTGTTCCAGGCAGTGGGTTGCACTTTCTCCTTTCATTTCTATGTTGCTTTGTATCATAAACAGCTAAAAATGCTTGGGTGTATACTGTACTCTGGGGGAAAGAATCCAAAATCCCACATATTGGATATGAAGCACTCTTTAAAACCATACTATCCTTTCACCTGCATGTATGAATGACAGCAATCAGGAATCTGCCAAAATGGAGGCTGTGGGAAGGCAGAGCCCAGGTGCGTGCAGGACTGGGAAGGCACAGCATCAATGTACTACATCATTTATCTATCATGGAGAGCCTTACTAACAGGACTGCCAACCTTGAAAAACATACAGCCCTTCCTTTCCAGACAGAAAACCAGAGGGAAAGCTCCTTTTAACCTCCATAAACTTGGCCCAGCTAATGAAGCTGTTGACCCCTCATCCCCCAAAACCCATTTATTAGTGGAGGTTAACAGAGACTTGTGTCTGCTGAAAGGCAAAGCCTTTGCTGCAACTAGGGCACAAAGCCTCTAAAGCACAGGCTTTTTGCATTGAGCTTTCCTGCCATAGGGACCTAAATTCTGCACGAGATGCCTTGGGGGGAGGTGGGACAAGACAGTATGAAAACAGCTTTATTATAACCATAATGTACCCATGGAGCATCAAGCTGCTGGAAATAACCTTTCTGAACTTGTAACAGTACATACACTTGGCTGTTAGCAGCAATGGAAGATACTGGGTTATCTGTATGTGTTCAGAGCAACGCAGCATTGCTTTTCTGCACCAGAACTCTATGTTTAATGTGCTGTCCTGCCAGTGTGAGTGAGCTATGCACGGCATCAAGGGAAGCCATAAATATTCAATGCTTTAAGACCAAAAAGAAAGAAAAAAGTAAAAGACAGCTGTAGGCTCTCACTATATTCATTCTTGTCACCAGGACGCAACAATTTGCCCATTAAACAAAAGTGGATGCTTCTTCTCTTTGGGCATAAGATTACTTTTATGGGACATGGGATTCAGGCCTCATCCATGAAGTGGCCATGCACACCAGCTGGGAGGCCGTGCAGCTCTGCTCCTGCATTTCAGTTGTTGCTTTGGGTTTAAGCAGCACTGTCAAAAAGCAAGCGTTTGCTTCCAGCACATAATAACTGCTCTGGGTTTACCAATATATATATATTTTATTATCGAGGTTTTAGTTTGGGTTTTTACATGTGTACAGAGTATTTAAGGAGTAGAAACATAAGAAAAAAAGTGAGGGAGGGGGGAAATCAAAAAGACAGCAAATAGTTAGGAAGCTGAGTTGTTTTGTTGGCATTGTGCTGGAGGAGACTATCACCGTCTGGAGTACCAAATACAACAAACAGTAACCACCTGTTAAGAGCTATTCTGGTGTAGAAGGGGAAGATTTCCAAGTTTTGGCTATGCTGAATAGTCTCAATATTTCAGCATTAATCAGACCATCTCCCCAGAACTGGGAAAACATGCTACCAGCTGTACGACCCCACACATCTCCAAGACATGCTGACCCACTGAGTGCTCATACAGCCCTGGCTCAACGCCCAGCAGCAAAAACTGACTGCAAAAACACCATCCTGGGCCCGCAGCCCCACTTGCTTTTGCTTTTATCCCTGCTCAGGATGCTCACTGACAATGTGGCTGCTGCCTTCTCTGGGAGCATTAATCACTGATTTTATCTGTTTCCAGCTTTGTGCTGCAGGATGTTCTCAGCTCTGTTACCAGAGAACCTGTGCCGACACGATGCTTAGAGAATGTTCATGAGCTCAGACTATTTAAACCCTAAAATATTCATTGAACAAAATTTGCATAGAGTCTAGCTGAATGCTAGCAGGTAGCTAAAAATAAAGATCTTTTCAAACAGAGGGAGAAAATCAGAGTGAGACAGATGACCAAGACACTGCTCTTAGGCTCTCCTGAGACAGCTTTTAATAAGACGAGCTATGCTTTCATTCCTGTTGTGCAGGCAAGTCTACAGGGTATTATATTCTTTATGAACTGTCAAGATCAAGAGTGTGTGAGGGCAACAGGGACACAGGCAGGGACACAAGGACCATCATCACTCAGATTTCAGGGAATTAAATGCAATCACTACGAGGAAAAGAGTAGCACCATAGTAAGCAATATGTGGTATTTACGAAGCTGTAATGAACATCCTAAACTTCTAGCCTACATAGTCTTGTAGTCTTTCTTGTCATGTCTTGTCTCTCTTTCAGAAGCTTTGGGGAGATCTTTACAGTCTCATGCAGCTTCTCCCTTATGGCTTTTGCAGAAAATGAGCAGCACTGTCCTTCGGAGCCTAAGTGTCCTCAAGCAATAGGAAACTTAGTGGTAACCCAGCAAACTGGTGCATCATCCAGTAGCTATGGGCAATCTGGCATCTGATATGAGATTACACAAAGAAAGTAACCTTGCTTATGTGCAGGTTAGAAGGAGCATGGGAAAAAGAGGTTTGCTACTTGCAAAATGTCCCAGGATGACGGGACATTGCATGCAATGCTCAGTCTTATACTTCTCTGTTCCCCCTTCCAACATGCAAGCAAGACTTTTAGAAGAAAGGATGACTCAAACTATGCACTGTCATTGCAAATTCTCACTCCATACTTGCCCAGCAACCAACGTGTCCTTAAAGTAGTCCCATGTTTCCAACAGGGAAGGTCTGTAAATAAGATCAATTGTTCAGCAGGACCAAGCATTGCTTTTTTCCTCTACTCTGTTTTCCATGGAAAGTTGGATGCTTACTGCAGTCAAATGATGAAGCTTTAATATTCTATCTCTAAAGATAATTTTTTTTTCTTCTCCCTTTCTTTCTTTTAACAAATCTCTAAAAAAAGAGATCCCTCTGATACAGGGCTGTTTATCCACTTCAAACCATCCGGCAAAGTTGTGTGCCCCAATCATAGGTATGGATTTAATACCATAATTGTTACTGCCTCTTCATCAAGTCATCATTTGTACCACACGCTATTCTCTTGCATCTCCCTGCCTTTGCTCAGCATTAAGAAATGCCTCAGTGGTTCTGCAGTTCTACTTCCCACTCCAACAGCATTTTAGGCTTCAAGGGATTTAGCTGAGTTTCACGTGTTGCAGTCTGCACAGAAGACACCGCTGTGTTGTCAGTCACACAACACATCTACTGAGTTACTTATCAATAAGCAGAAATCTTCACCATGCCAATAATCAACTATCTGATATGATAAACTGTTTCAAAGAGGAAAAAATGAAAAAAATTACCTCCATCTTGCTCCCTCCTTCCCCAAACCAAATGATAGTCTTAAAACATATTTAGCTTGATGTAATTAATGATATCTATTTCCCCTCTGTTTTGTGATTCAGCTGTTTCCAAGTCTGTAAGAAGCACCAACAGTGAACCCTGTGGTGCCAGCTCAGTCTGGGGACGGAAATAATCAGCTCGAAAATAAACAGTGTTTTTTTGCAATCAAAGTGCTAATAGACATGGTAACTGGAGGACAGTAACTCTTGCGAGAAGGGATGGAGAAGGGGGAAAAAGTCTGTTTCTTGCTGAATCAGAAATACATGGGAAGGGGCCAGGTGAGAATGACCATTTAGATTGAAGAAAGCCAAAGACATTTAGTATCATACAGTCATCTCATACCAAATCCACTACTGGTTTGTTCTTGCAGTTTCAGGCACACTGCACTGATCACCTGCCTCCCATTTTATCATAGCAATATTGGCTACAGTGGATCTCACCCTTTGCAGGAGTTTAATCCCACCAAATCCTTGGAAAATCACTTTTTGGAGACTAATATGGTAGAAGAGCTTTAACTTTCTCCAAAACAGAGATACTTCAAGGCCTCACAGTCTCAATTGGACTGTGGCAAAAATTGGTTTGGTGATGGGATCTAAACAGTTGCGTGCATGAATCTACCACTTGCCTCCCAGCTCAGTCCCTGCTGGCACAGAAAATAAAACCACACAAGGAGGCAGCGAGTTTGAAGCCAGTGGGGCAGCACTATCAAGAGCAAGGGCACAGCTGGTGGCTGTTTTGCTGTGATTCCCAAACTCCTGGTAGGAAAGGCCAAAATCTAGACCTGGCAGGAGGCACAGCCTGGTCAGAAATGAGATTTCCTTCCCAAGGCATTTTGGCCTGAGCTGTTGGCTGCAGCAACACCTCAGGTGGCTCAGGACAGCCATTGCAGAGACTCAGTTGCTCTGGAGGGACCTGAAGAGGGGCTGGGCCACTGGGAAGCACAGTGGGGTTTCTAGCACAGTGTTGCCCGGGCTGGCAATTGAACTTTTGGCGAAGGATAGCTCTGCATACACCTGGAGCAAGAAAATAAAAAGACAGCAAACAACAACTGAGGCCTAACGGGAACTCGTTTTACTCTTTGACATGCTACCAGTGGTATTTATCTCAGAAGAATCAAACTTAAAAAATAAAAAATAATTAAAAAATCATTACAATGATTAAAAAGACACACGAAATACTATGCTCAAATCATCTGCATGTCATTGTCTGGTTTATACAGTAGGCACAAAACAGACCTAGGATAACCTGCAAGAAACGTGGGCCAGCTTTGTTCTCAGCCAGATACAAGTGCTGCTAGCCTGATACTTCTACTTAGCTGTAGCTGGGTAATGTTTGTGCTTAAATTGCTCAGCCAGGCCTCCTCTCTTTGGCATTGCTCACCCATGCCCTAAAGGGGTTGGAAACTCGTACTGAAGACAGAAATGGAGAAAGGAACAACAGAGAAGAGCGATTAATTGTACAGTACATACATACAGTGTCTTCTAAATTGTGATCAGTTGTTTATTGGTTGGCAAACAAGCTTCACTTTTACAACAAATATTAGTAATGAGGTCATTCAACTGCTGAGACCATACAAAATGATCATAAATTAAAAATAAAAATAAAAATAAAAGAAAAAAGAAAAAAAAGAAGAAATTATACTCCGTGCTGCTAATTTACCTCTGGAAAGCCTATGTTACTTGAAATCATGTCAAATAAATAAATTTCCTGTTAGGCAAAAGAATGAACAGAAGACTTTTTTTTTTCTTTAAAAATCACTGCAAAAGTACTTTTTAGATCACTACGCATCAATCAAATTTCTTCTTAACCACTGCATTACAAGTGCCTAAACGGGGACCGGACGGGGCCGTGAAGGCCCTTAGCTCCTATGGGGAAATCACCGTCTCATGCAGAAGCCCCGCTACGACTACAAAAACCTCTTGGCTTCTAGATGCGAACCTACGGCCTGGGTGAGGGGCTGCTTGCCAAAGATGCTTCACAGGATTCTTGTTACGATCGGTTGTGCACTGTAAACATAAAGTTTGCCCTGCTCTATTCTGCAAAAAGTCTGCCGGCCATATGGCGGCTTGAGAAAGATACACGATGAGGAAAGAAAAGACTCTCTTGGTTGGAAAGAAACTGCCATCGCGTTTCTAAAAATGGTCCTTAGAAAGTGGTGTTTGTTTTTCTGCCCAGTGAGACTTTTTACCAGGATGGGAGGGATGGAGGGGAGAGGCAAAAGGAAAGAAAAGAAAAACAGGAGTTATGAAAAACCTTGCTCCTACTGGTAGACAAACTTACAAGACCAGCACAACAGAAAAAGTTCTTATTTTTTTTCCACTACATTAACAGGGACGCAAGTTCTGGAGGAACAGAAAGCAGACTATATGTGCAATGCTAGTATCTGTACATTACATAGAAATTGTTTGATTCTCTTTTTCTGCCATTAGTTTTGATCGTCAGTTAATACAGCAAAACATAAAATATGCCTTTAGCATATAATTCTAGGATTCCCTTCCGTATCATAAATTTTTGTTTCGGTTGCTCCCACAGCGAAGGGTGCTGCGATCAAACCGAGTTGTGAGCGACCAAACCCCGCTGCAAGATCTGGATTTGTAACAGACAGTTTGCTAGCTTGTTTGTTTTGTGCAGCACTCCCACCTAGATGCGTCATCGCTACTAGTTTCAAATGCACATTTTTGGCCTTTTTTTTTTTTTCTTTGCATTTTTTTTTTTTCTTTCTTAAATCAGGTCCTCAGTATTAAGAGCAACACAGCATCAAGGATCGTTTAAACAAATACAGCATAACTTGAGAAGGCCACGAAGTGTGCCGTTATCTGTCCTATCTCTTTCATTAACATAATGAAGTCTGTCTGAAGGGAGGGAGCATGGGGAGGAACTGGGGGGAGGGAGGGGGCAGCAGTTCCTGTTCTCTCCGGGCTGGCCTAAAAATTCCAGTAAAAAAAGTCTGAGAGTTTCATTTCGCTTAGAACAGCATGAAGATTTAGGAGTACACACAATATTACCACTGCTTGTATTAACTCAGAACAGTAAACCGAGCGTTACGGAGGGGCTGTGGGTGTCCGTTTGCTTCATTTTTGCTTAACCTTCTATAGACTAGTGACCAAATGAGCGGGTCCTTTCGCACTGCCGTCCGGGGAGGTTCCCTCTTTGTTCGGCGGGACTATAAAGCCGTCGCTGCTGCCTCGGCCTAGCTGGTAGTACGTGTGTAGCTGATGGACGTGGTTCCTGGAGCCGAGGTTGGGCATGCTCTTGTAGTAAACATCATCCGCGTCACCGCTTTTTGCCGGCGGGGGGTCGGTCTGGGTGCTGGCGGCAACGCTTTCCGCCACGGGCATGCCGGCCAGCGTGGGCATACTGGTGTACAGAGAATCCCTGTTGGGCGACTGGAGGTCGTCTGTGTGCTCGTTGGTCAGCAAGGGGAAAAAGCTCTCACTGTTGTCCTGTGGGATGCGCCGCCGGCTGTAGAGATGGGGCTGGGGGCCGTCAGCCGAGTACACACGGGGGGGCAGCAGCGGGGCGTCTGACTCCTCGTGGATGAGCTCCAGGCCCAGGCTCTCCTCGTGGGTGAAGGAGGTGGCGTCGTCCAGCACGATGGCGTCGTCCTCACTCCCGCCGCCCACGCTGTTGACGAGTTTGTTCATCAGGTTTCGGCTCTGCTCGCTGGAGCGCTCGTGGTTGTTCAGGTAGGAGGGGATGTAGTTGGAGGTGAGTTCCTTCAGGATCTTCTTCTCGAGGGCGTTCTCAGTGTGGTTGTACCCGCGGTCGAGGATTTGCACGCAGTTGCTGAGGTACTCGCCGCTGGCGATGCTGTAGCTGTTGCCGTGATTACCATTCAGTGGTAGAGTATCCGTGACACTTGTATCCCTGGCATTGTTCAGAAGCCCCTCTGAAAAACATTACACAAGAGAGGGTGACTTGTACAAACAGGACACTCACGCGGGACGTGCACACTCACACCCTTCCTAGGCTGCCACAGGGCCGGGGAAAAGCGAGCGGTATGCCGTCTCACACTAGGGAGACTGCTTCATCCCAGGTGTGAGGGTGCAGCTCCACTTCGCTGCCTTAAGGCCTCGCCGCTGATTTAGGGTCTCGCTGCTGGAAAACGGAGGGCAATAGCTAGCAGGAGGGAATAACCTCTCCCTGCCAATATTTCCTCGCGCTGTTGTGCACTGCTGCTTCCAGAGGGTCTGGGATTTGCTCTGCATGTTCCCTGGGAGCTGAGCGATACATGAGCCTTAACTGGGCCAAAGTGCCCTTGCTGCAAGGCTTTGGCAATTCACCCCAGCTGAGGAGAAGTATTTGCTGTGTAGGTTAATCATCAGCCGAACCTCTCTTGGGACTGTATCCTTACTAGCTTCGGAGGGGGGAAATAAATCTGCACTCCCTATCCGAGGAAAGGCATGAGTGCTCTGCTAAAGGCAAGATTCGTGATTAGCTCATGCAGCCAGCACAGGGCCACAAAGTGCTCCTGTCCAAAGCATTTTTGGAAGAAGACTAAGTATCCTACCCCTCATGGCACAAGGGCACAGCCAAAATGATTTACTTGATCTTGGTCAGGTGGGAGTTTCCTAATGCAATTGGTACAGGGGACAGCTGTAACTGGGTCTTGCACAGCCTTTAAAAATACTTTCCATCTCCCTTTCCAAGTGAAAGCAGAGATGGAAGGTAGAGCAAGTACCATCACTGCCACAGTATGGCAGACATGGTGGGACACACACTCGGGTTGTTGGGACATTCCTGAGCCTTTCCTGCCAACCTTCTTCACTGCCTGCTGTATTTGAACAGGCAGCCCAGGTAAATATATATGCCTAGCTTGCACAAAGAATGCACAGACAGTTGCATAAATGAGACCTCTGAATTTCAGCAATGAACTGTCCTGCTTGCTACTGTACCACTGACTGCTGTCTCATTTCTACTGGCCTGTCAACACAGCCAGCGCAAGGCTGGGGCTTGATGCCATCCTTACTGACTCTATGGGTTATGGTGGAGGAGATAGGCAAGGGAGAAGTAACCCAGGCCACAGGCAGGTTAAGCTGTCACACACTGTTTTTTTGTTTTGTTTTGTTTTGTTTTTTTATCATGGCCAGCAAAGACAGACATGGGAAAGCACAAAATCCCATATCGACCTTTCAGCTAAGGGCTATGGGTGTTGCCGAAAAATCATAAGCAACTCCCAGCAAGCAGCAGTGGATTAGAGGAGCCATTAGCCGACAATTTAACAGTTGCTCTTACCATGCTTGGTACATGGCATGTGTACCTTCTGAAAATACAGGATTCGGTCTATATCTGCGATGTTGTAGTTGTGCGTGACAACGGCTGGAAAGTGCTAGTGCAGGCTTTTTTTCTTTCTTTTGAGTAAAATGCCCAAATGTATCTGTCGTCTTTTAGGTTTCTAAAGCTTGGAAGGTGATGCCGTATCCTGGGTTTCCAAACAAACAAGGGGGCTATGCAAAAAGTCAACTAGCTATCACAGACATAGAGCAAAGCCGCTTATTTTCATGTTGGAAGCTCTCCAAATGAGCCATGATGTTTGGGAAGAAATGGGAAGTGAGCATTTCAGGGGGAGGATCGTTTGCAGTGGGTGACGGACACGACAGCATCTGTCTGATAGCTGAGTGCCGTATGCATTTAGGCACCAAGCAATGCTTCCGCTGCCAATGCATAGAGCCAGAGGCTGGGAGGGTTCAGAGGGAATTAAATGAAGGCATCACATGTGAAAACAGAGTGAGGTCTGCAATGAAACGAGCAGTATAAAAATACCATGACCTCGCAAATCAAAAGGTGAAGTTTAAAAGAATTGCACGCACAGCTAAATGAGAAACTAGTTTGGGTAAATGATATCACAAAAACGGGAAATAAAAAAGGAAAGCATCATCTAATCTTCACTATATATATATGTACACACACACATATATATATACACACACACATACGCACGCATACACAGATATATACATATGTATATTCATATGCTTTAGATTCTTTTGATTTCAAAACTGTGAGATGAATTTCCTTTATTAACTACATCATCTATATGTGATGCAATAAAAGTGAACTAAAAAAAATTACATTTGATATGCAATGTTTAGCTTTACTCCCATACTTGTCTCTCTGTAGGGCTCTAAACGACAGCATGAAGAAAAGGAAAGAAAAAACAACAAGTAAGCTTACAGCGACAGTAGGAGAAACATGAGTAAAAAGCAAATTGATGATGTGCAGAAAAGAGAGTTAACGGAAATAATTTTCACTGCCCAGAGTACATGAATTTGTTACATGGTTTATTTCAGGTTAAAAATATTGACATTTTAGACAGAAAAGTATTTTACCCGCAATATCAATGCACTACAGTTTTATTGAAAATATAATCACATTTAAAACTTTATCCAATGCCATTATAAATGTTCAGCGTGCAATACATCAAGAAATAATCCCTGGAAATGTTAAGAGAAGTCTAAAGCTGGCAATGGTCATGCTTGAAAAGACAGGCACTGTCAATGTCATTTCCAGAGTCTTAAAATGAATGGCTTTACTTACTGTTAGTTCTAATAACCCCTGGCAGTTGAAACTGAAATCCATTTCCTTGCTAAACTGTTTTGCTGTCCATCCTTTGCAACAGCGCTTTGCAAGAGTATGACTTAGCTTATCATGGGGCTGTTGGCATTTAAAAAACTTTTGCAAGGAAGCGTTTCCTTTCTGTTCTTTTTATAACCAAACACATGGAAAATTACATGGAATTTGCAAGCAAATGTGAGAGAAATAGTAGTTCGAATAATGGCATCTCTAAATGAAGCTGTTGAGAAGGAAGAGTTAAAAAAAAAAGCAGAGCCAGAGATGAAGATGAAGAGCCATTGTTAAGTGTCAGCTTCTCACTTTGCATTGGTCTGCGGGACACTGTGATTTAAGCAGAGCTTGTTACGGGATTTCCTTCTTCTCTTAAACTTATCAATCACAAAAGCAGTTAGGCCATTTTGACACGTTTATGTATCCAAGAGACTGAGTGAGTACATATCCATCAGATGCAAAGGATAGTGAGTGCTTCGCATGTGCCGCGGGGTGCCAGGCTCCTCACCTACCATCTCCTCCTCCTTTTACACTCTGTCCTGTGAAGGAATTGGTTTTGTCACTAGTACATGGTCTCTGGCCTGTTGGGTTCTCATTCCCAGCTTCTTTGCAATGCTTTTTAGGGCTCCCAGCCCCTGCTGAGACAGGGCAGCTTCAGCTTGAACAGAGAAGGTATTTTAAAGCACGGAACTGGAGAGGAGGAAGGGGAGACCACCCCAGACTCCACATTTATTGTCTTTATAGAGTCCTGTCTCTGTCAACAGCCAACAACAGATGTGGCAGATGAAGGTGCAAGAAAATCATGTGGAATGAGTTAGTAGGGCAATGTTAGCTAGCATGCCTTCCCTGCACTCCAATCCCAGCCCTTGTAGATGGTGACAGCATCTACTTTTACAATGTGTTATCGTTACTTTAGCCAGGTTGCTGGTGCAGCGCCCTTAAAGCGCAGAGAATCCAAATGGGTTTTGCAAAGTTTCCTTTCCACTGCTGGTTCTCCTAATATGCACACTTTGTAATGGAATGCTTTGTCCTAAGATAATAGCCAGTTTAAAAAGCAAAAGCTATACCACTTTCTTTGATCATTAATTAACTTGCAGCCTCCTGAACATAATAGGTCGCATTCTGCTGCCTCTGAAGTCAAAGGCAAAGCTCCAGTGGCTCAAGTGGGATCAGTAATGGTCACACTTTCTTTAATATACTAGGGATGTAGGCTGGGCAACTTTCTCTGTCATCCATCTGGCTGTGTTGCACTGAATAGCATGTTCAAATCAGTAACACTATTTGTGGAATAATGTACTGTTAACTCAGGTAATTGTATCAGAATCCAGTCTCACAAACTAGAAGAACATAAGATTATTAGAATGCATGTAAAACCTTTTGTCACATTTCCGCTCAAATCACTTTTGTCCATTTGAGGCCCCCAGACCTGAACCTCAGGACTTGCCTTAAGTTAGATACTGACCCAGCATTACCTGCTGCCACTTGATTTAACAGTCCCTCAAATCTCAACATTATCATGCAAGAAGACATACAGAATATGAAAGCTTGTTTTGACATTTGTGATACACTAAAGATCTTAAAATTCAGAGCATTTCATGCTTAACAGTAGCCCCTTTTTAGAAGACATTAATGGAAGCAAATTTATTGCACAATGTTAGCATAGCTTAAGAAATTTATGAACAACAGAAAGGTCAAACACATGTGCTTCCTTGTGGACTGAATGAAAATACCCTAGTGATACAGTTCAATACCTATGTCTGTTATAAACAATACACTGCTATTTAGCACAATGGGGTTTTACTGCTTCCATTATAACCATAATTATTCTCCCTTCCTTAGGGATCCTTTATGGGAAATGGGCTCCTTCATTAGAGGGGAGAGGTGAAAGAGCGCTACCCCCCAAAAGAAGTGGTAGAGCAGGATGGAGCTGGAAAGCTCCACACCTCAGCTGCTCTTCCATCCCGGTCAAACACCTCAGCCTGGCCTGGGCAGCAGCACCAGGACAGCAGCCTACAAACACTGCCCTGTCCCCACAGCTGGAGCAGAGACACACACACTGGCGACAAGAGAATGACCTCAGAGAGGGAGCCTCAGCTGAATACGACTGACTCTACCTGCTCACTTCTCGTGCACAGAACAATGTGTCAAGAGCTCTGAGCTTCCCTACGCCTTTTTCCATTCCTTCTTTCTTTTTTACTTTGTAATAGAATATACAAAATGTATTAATGCAAAGAGCAAAACATTTTCTCCAACGTCTAAACTCTGCTCTTTGGAGCTGACCTATGCTCCTCTCTTCAGCTGTCATTTTTTCCTACAAATCAAGGGCATTTTTGCTTTGTTTGGCATTTTTTTCTTGTGCAACCTCCAGCAGACATACTGGTGTGCTGCTGACCACATTTCTCTCTGCCATTTCAAACAACAGCAGCTTTGGTGTCAAAGGCCATTTTAGCTTCACTTACCTTCAGAGATGTTCCTGCTTCTGAAATGAATGGTTTAACAAGGAAATGTGCAGACAACAGAGAAATGGATACATCTGACAAAACACACACACAAGACCAAAAACAATACAAAAGCAAGGGGATTAAAAAAAAAATCAAAATCAAAACCACTGTGAAAGTTTTGAGTAGAACTGATGAGTGTCTCTTAAAGTGAACTTGATTGCTCATGGAAAAAAGCCTACACAAAATGGAAAAATGCACTGAAATGAAAGAAAAGGGAGGATCGTTTCTGTGCCCAGTTCAAAAAAAACAAAGTGTTTGGGGGGGGGGAGGAGGGGAAGAAGAAAAAAAAGAAAGAAATGGGCAAAAATAAGCCACAGAAAATGGAATTCTCACTAGAAAAATTAGAGAGAAACTCCAGCACACCTTGTGCGTTGTACATGCTGACAGAAGGGTTGTTATAGACCGCCGATTCCCCGAGCAATGTATTATAAGGGTTGTTAGTGCCATGAGGACGAAGCAGAGCATTGGTTATAAGATGATTAGCCATGGCTCCTGGAGCAGCCCGATAGGAAGACAGAGAAAAAACAAAAAAGGTCAATCAGGCAAATGTGGCATAAAAAAAAAGGAAAAAGAACATTCAGAATGACAACAGTTGAATTAGTCCTGATTACAAGCAGCCAGCTAATTAGACTTGAGAACTGTAGGCCACTAAAGCAGCACAGATGTAACTGACAATGCACAAATCCAAACTGATGCAAAAGAAAATGGATCAGAAAGCAGATAAGCTACATTTATGGTGGTTCCCCAGTTGCTAGGAGTGTAAGCAAGGCTATGCCCACATGCTTGCTACAAATAAACAAAGAAAGATGGCAGCCTACACAATGGCGGGGAGGTGGGGGGAACTCTCCAAAAAGTGCCAAATGAAGAAGAAAAAACAAAAAAGACTAACATAAAACAGCACATTCAGTTCCCACTGTGGCCTAGGATCTCTCTTACTGGTCCCTTGAAATGTATTTGAAACTGAAATAGTATAATTAAAAAGAAACGATGGAAAATGCAACCTCTTCAAAGGCTCTCAGCACTTATTGGAGAGCTCTGCTCTGGCCACCAGTTTCTTGTATCTAAAAGGATGAGTTCACTGCAGCTCCTGCTCTCAGAGGCTGTCCAGTTCCTCCTGGCAGGCGGGTAATGAGAGCACCTCAGCCTGGCAGGTGTTGCACTTGGGATTGAAAGCAGACCATGGGGACATATGTTTGGAGAGTCCCTGTTTTCCAAGCAAATGCCTTTTTGCCTTCCTTCCTGTCATTTCTGAATACGCAGCCAGCAGTCAGCCTTCCCCTTAGGTTTGCCCCTTGGAGCTGCAGATACTGGACTTCTGCTTTTCAGGATCATCAGAGCTTAGCAGGTGGATGCCAAGACCCACCCTGTTTCCCACCACAAGCATCAATCCCTGAAGCAAAGCCTCCCCCCTCCTCTTGTTGACCTGCAGGACCAAAAAACCATTAAACCCTTGTCCTGTTAAGTCTCCCCTGGGATCCAGAGAGGCAGATGACTCAAAAACTCACCCCAAGACAATTTCCACTCTCATTGCAGGAATACTCAAGGGCATAAAGTAATTTTCATTTACTTCCTGGGCTAGAACACTAGAACAAATCCTTCCTACTAGGAAAACAAGTCTCAAATGGGGCAATTTCAAGGCTATCAGCAGGCAAAGAGAAAGGGAAGGAGCACAAAAAACAGACCACCATCTTTTCCCCAGCCCAATCCTCTTCCAGGGTACCAGAACCTCCATCCCAGACCCCCACATCCCAGCTTGGCCCCTAGCTGGAGTGGTAGGGTTAACTGGCTTCACCAACATCTGCTGCCCAAACCCAAACAAGTGATTGGAAAGCAAATTCCTCAACACCAGCCACTCTTTTGGGGTCATCTTTGTCACCTATGGGATGCAGAGTCCACCATCTGCCTCTCTTGGGAGTAAAGAGTAAAGGTGGCCCTGTGGCGTGGTAGAGGTGGGCTTTGCAAGACGCTGATGTTCTGGGTGCAAACTCTTCTCTGCAATTAATAACCTGGCTTCCTCCTTTTTTTTTTCCTTTTTTTTTTTTTTGATGCCATTGCTGATAATATACAAGCCCCAGGTCAGTTTCTCAGAAGCAAGCTCTGTGAGCTCTGTGAAAGCTCACGCCAACAGAGCATTTCAAGAAAGCAAAATCTGTCCTGCCTCTCCTTTATGTTTCCCCAGCCCTTCCCGTACTGAGGCGAATGACATTAGCGGGTCACTTGGCCTTTTGAGCACAGAACAAGGTAGAAGGCGGCGCTGTATGAGGGCTGCATGCCAGGGAGGCTCCTGCATGGATACATGCAGCTGCAAAAAATACTGGTTTCTCTCACCTGATGTTTTGGCTATACTGATGTAAAGCAAGATGAACTGTTGTGTTTGGAAATAAGGAAACAAAGCTGTCTCCTGTAAAAAAACATTATATGAACACTTAACTAAGCAACCTTGAATATAACTCATTGTCAAATGAGTCAGTCCTTTTGTTCTGGTGACGCGTTTATCCATTACTATCACATATTGGATGAAGACTGTAGGAACAACTTCTCTTCTTGCACTTGTTTTATACCAGTGTGACTACTAAGGACATTAAAGTAGCCTCCGCTTTTATACCACTTCCAAACAAGCTGGGCCGCAAAAGATTCAAAGAGGGACTCACGTTTATACAAGTAACAGGAAAGACCAGAGTTAATGGCAGTCACAAATTCCGAAGTGACATAATCCTTCCATTTGAGATTTACCCCAATTTCCAAGTTGGTTGCCATGAGATTTGATATGGAGAAGAAGGCTGTACCTGCCCCATGGCTTTGAACGCTTTTGCTCAAGGTGTCTTTCAATGGCAACTACAGAAAGAAGCATCTCACATGATGTGTTGCTGGCCTGATCTTGTCTAACACATCACGTTCCAACAGCAAAGACAGTGATGCTTTTCCCAGGTTTTACCCCACCTGTTGCCATGCATGAGCTGATCCCACTGCAGCTTGAGCTTGGAGCAGCGCACGGCAAGAGACAAAAAGGGACACATCTGTGTCAGTACACAGCACCTGGCTTGCCTACATGCACCACAGGGGCCCTCTGCTGCCCGGTGGGCTCTGAAACAAGCTAAATTCACATCAACCTGGTCCTTCTGGACTGTATGAACTAGATAGTTCCTGGAAACTTTTAAAGCAGATCAGTGATTCTGAGTACAAACACTACAAAAAGTGGAAAACTCAGAATAAGTCAGTCATTTTCAATTGCAAATCTGTGTACAAGAGGAGGCTTTGTGTAACAAAACAGCCACCCATTTCTATATGCAGACACGAAACAAAAATACCACATCTTCTGCTTTCCTCTCCCTTTATTTGTGAGGGCGTTAAGATTTTTTAATTTACTGATCTAAATGTCACTTTTGAAGTCAGTTTTGAGTAATTCTCCTGGTGCAAAGCCAAAGTAAATCCACTGATATCTCTTTCCGATACCTTTCAATATTTTGGGCACTGAGCAGCAGGCTCCCATCAGGGTGGGCTGCCCACAGCAAACTTCACTCTTTGTGTGTGTCATGGAAAATACAACCTCTGGTATCTCAAAAAGAAAATTACATATGCCTTGTATTCATTAATCTGGGGTCTTGTTTCTCCTTAGCTGCTTTAAAGCTGCAACATTCCCTGCCTCAAAGGATTGAGGGAGAAAAACTGCATTCAGGCTCCAGAGAGCTTGAAGTTAAAGCTTAAGATAAAACAATAATACAACAGCCGAATCCCCATTATTGAGTTTCTCCTTCCCAGGAGGGAGAAAGAAAAAAGGTATCGCAAGCCATACATTTCAGTATCATCCTGCCATTTTCATAACACTTTATCATTGCTATAGCAACCACCAGGACTACTGGGAAAAGCAGATTAAGTCTGCAGATGAGGTATGAGCAGAAGAAGCAGGTGGGCTACCCATGAAAATGGCTATGGTAATAAACAGCTAGTGAAGTCCAACAAAGAAAGCCTGGGATCAAAACACATGCCTTCTGAAAATGCTAAGAGAAGATGCAAATAGGCCTTTTTGGCACAACATGTCATAGCCTTCCATGTCATGACACCAATTACTCCCAGAAAATCATGCAGCCCAGCATCATCCTTGCTCTGCAGCAGTTCAGTGGTAACATCCCCTGAACAAATTCGTCCTCTGCCATTTCCTGAAGTACCCAAGCCCAGCACACAGTCACCAAGCATGCTTTTCACTTTTTATTTGCTTAGTTATGCTGGCTGGCTTCAGTTCAGCTGCGCTGCAACACCTTCACTTCTGCTAGCCAAAGGTACTCTACTGAAAGCAAACTCACCTCATTCCCAAACCCACCTTGTGTTGTGTGCATATGGGCATACCTGCTCTTGGGAGTGGGAAAAAGATGAGGCTTCAAGGCCAAAGGCTCACATGGGAATTTTCTTTTTCACAGGGATGAGAAGTTCACAAACAGAGCCTGCGTTTAACAGCAGGAATTTGGTGCATGAGCACAACAGAAATCTGCACCTTGTTAAACAGGTACAATTTAAACACTCAACTAAAAGCAAAGGGCAAAAAGAAATATGACAAGTGTATGCCACCAGACTCTAGGTTATATCATTCAGGAACAAAATTCAACTAATTTCTTGTGGGCAGCTGGCTGACAAAGCCATTTAAAGGCATTTAAGCTAACTTGAATCATCTGCGTGGTCTGCTCAACAGAAGGGGAAACATATCCAAGTACTCCTCCAGCCTTTCTGAAAATTAATGTCATGCAGCGTGGCCTAAGCAGGCTGCCAATGGCTTGGGCAGCACTGCTTTTTCAGGGTCATCTGCCCACATAGGTAAGGATACCCTCACATGTCTCTTCTGGCTTTGTATCTTTTCAGAGACTTGCCAAAACCAGCTCTTGCCTTGCTACATGCATTTTAGCAGGTTGGAAGCACACTGGGGAAGGGAAGATTTCCCCACTGCTGAGAAGGCATGCCAAGAGTGCAGTTTTGCAGAGAAAGTAGACTAAAGCATTTAATAAATGTAAGCTGGTGAACTAGCGAATCAATCAATTGAACATTTCAAAAATGCCCAGAGAAGCCCAGTATTTTCCAAACGAAATGTTATTCTTTTTTGTTTCTCAAGACTGGTTTGTATGAAAGCTGACTTTGACTCTCTTATGATGTCATCTTTTCATTAGAGTAAAACTAAAATAAATAGTTCAGAAAAGGCACATCTGAGTTGTAACAAAATATTTCATTGCCTCTGACCCGGGAGTCCAAAAATGTAATTGTTCTTGTTACTTTTTTGGTTGTTTCCTGAAAGGATGTAATGGTGTGCTTCTGGTCAACCTTAATCTTTATGTTTTTTTCCCCATTTGCCATCCACACAACTCTCGCTGCTCCCATCCCACAGGATAGAGCAGGGAGCTGTGCCCCTGCCCACTTTGCCTCCTGAAAGCAGCCAACTTATCCTTCTGTCCAAAGACTGCATAAATCAAGACCGCTAGCTTCTCACACTTCATATATTGGACTTCAGA